ACCCGGCTAGTCAAGCCTGTTGCTGAGAGGGTTGTCCAACTCCAAGATTGTCAATCTGGATGTTGAGAAGTATCTACGTGGCTTTGGAACCTTGTACAGTCTCCAGGCCGGGCGAATTCTACCGGCTATCGAGTCTGTACAAGTCTTGATGGGCGTGAGGGTTTCTCCTGGCCCTCCAGGCCCGGCGTGCAGGCCAACCCCCCCCCCCTTTTTTGGGCGGGTTGTACTGCACGCCCCTCTTGTTGCAAATGTCAGCAAACCGAGGGGCGTGTAGCAAAACCCGCCCAAAAAGAAGGGCAGGTCTTACTTCCCGCCCCTTTTGGAGGGGCGGGAGGGGGAGGGCGGGCGTTTATCAATGCACGTCCCAGGGCTGTTGAGATATGGTCCTCAGGTCAGGACATTCCTTAAGGTTGGCAGTCATTTATCCAAGTCCTTAAAAAACAGACCAGATGTTGGCCAATTAATGCTCATCAACAATTGGAAGACTCAAAAAACTAGGATGAATTAGTAAAAGATGGAAAATGATCACTGACGGTGGGTTTGCATTGATCAAGGAAACTCTTGAAACCAGCCTCAATTAGCTGCTTGGTTCAGATGGTCAAAAGATTTGTAAGAAGTTCAAAGTGGGTCAGATTAATAATTCCTTGCAGTAATCCCTTGGAATGATCAGTCTCTTGTAAACAAAAGCTGACTGACACTATGTCCTTGTTCAAGACAATGATTCATTTTTTTTTAAAGAAACAAAAAACCATCTATGATGCTCTGACATGGATAACTCAGCTTACTGATTGAGATATTCTCGGCCAGTCAGCACTCAGCAATTCTGGCCATATATCTGATCAGATTGGTTTAACTGATACATTAATACATTTGTAAGCTTCTCAACCCCTCTTGAAAGAAAGATCTTTGACCTGGACACTTGAGCATGATGGGGAAAGACAGACTGTGTATTCCCAGTGCTGATTGGGGGATTGCTCGCCTGTTCAGATTTAGATGCTTATAATTACAAACCCAACAGATCATGTATTGATTGATTTGTTCTTATAAAAATCCTCATCTGGACATCGAGCTCGCTTGTATGAGTCCAGATGTTATTCTGGGCCTTTCGCTTGCTCCCAAGCCCTGTCTCAAATGGCTTTCGATTAATCATGATTTTGGAAGGGAGAGCGGGATGGATGTCCGACTGCTATTGCTATTGCTATGTACTGCCGGTTTATGAAACCCTGTGAGGAAAAAAATTGAAGCCCTATCGGTGACGAGTACACTCCGGGCCCATCAACAGCCATTGTCGAGCTCACTTTGCATGATTTGGGGGTCCTTAAAGTACACGACTTCCGCAATTCTCTTTCCAATTGTTTGGTTCGACATTTCTTTTGCCACGCTCCACTCAAGATCATAGCAATCAATATTATCAGTCCCCATTCTGCAAAGCGTTTTAAATCGACTTTCGCTCTCGACCCGTTTACAATCTTATGCGCCTCAATCACTGAAAAAAAAAATTGGTCTTGCGGAATGCTCCTTCGCATTATTCACCGGCCCCATTGCACATATCTCGCAAGGGACACATTTAATGAATGTGCAGCCAATTTGCTTTGCATTGAGAAAGAGCAAGGAAATTCGGGAATGAACCTATAAAGGAAGGTATGTATCAAGGTGAATCGGACAATGAAAGCGAGGTGGGAGATACCTCCAAATATATGTATTGTGAGGCACGTGCAGCGCTTTGGATGACCGGGGCGGTAAGGATGACCGGTACCGTGGGGATCCGATGGCCGATGTGTTGACCAGCTTTATTAATGAAGTTCATCGGACAGGAATTCGATTGTGATGGTATTAAATAGAACGAGTTCGAGGAAGCTTATTTACACCTCTTGAGCGGAAAAAACGTGCATTCCGGAAAGCCGGTTGGATTCAGTCAGCCAATTCGATCAAAAAAAGAAAAAGAAAAAAAAAAGAAATCCATCTGCAGCTGGGTTTGTAATGAGCACCTGACTCTGAGTAGGGGAGCATCGGCGCTGGGAATAGTCTGTCTTTCCCCATCAAGCTCAAATGACCAGGTCTGAGATCTTTCTCTGCAGAGGGGTCGAGAAGCTGTCGAATGTATTGTAGCATGAGGTAGATCGATCTGAGGTACATCGAACCGGAATTGCTGAGTTCTTACTGGCAGAGAATCTCGCTATCAGCCAGCTGAGTGGTCCATCTCTCGATGATTTTCACCGCAAAGCACCAACAACTGTTTACCATTAAGAGTGTAAAGACCGGGCGGAGGGTGGGCGAAAGAGTATTATTGGATATCCTCAGAGCCCATTGGTCATTGGTATTGCTTCGGAGATGCTCCAATTGCTCTGCATGCAATCGATCCGTTCGGGAATCGGATGGGATGAGGCCCAAAGGCAACTGTAAAGTGGGAAGGACTGGCTGGAAGGAAAAAGACTATAAAAGGCTATCGATTCCTTCACTGCAGAGGGTCTTCTTCCCACCAACCACATCTCAACTTGTGCCGAAAACCAGAAAAAGAAAAAGAAAAAAACTGATACTTCTAATATCATCATCATGCTTGCTCCCTCTCATCACCTTGCCCTTGTTATGTCTCTGCTCACCGGAGCTTGGTTGGCTCGTACAACTTTCGCTGCATTGAACTGTGCTGGTGGCGAAGTAGTTGATTGGAACGAGTGCACTCGGTACGAAATCTCTGTCTCGTCGAATCTCTATCCGTTCAATCTTCGGGAACTGATCCTTACTTTCGCTTTATGTAAATCAACTCCCGAAATCCAATTGGTGTCTGCTTTGTCAACCAGAGCCATCGCAACTATCGTCTATGATAAGCCAAAGAACACTCTCGATAGAGTCTCGAGCAGGTTTGCGAAGCTCTCGGGCAATTGTACCGTATGTTTAAAGATTCATGAATCTTATCATAGATAGGTTTCAGCAGACACTAAGCGAAGATGTTTTCAAAAAAAAAAAACAGATACTTGTCAACAATCCCGATAGGGAGGTAGTGTCAGTTAACTTCTGTTCTTTGGAGCCATACGAATTCCAAGGGACCGATTGTGATGATGAACTGATGAATAACAAATCTCTTGATCATCAGAACCAAGCAACAAATCGAGGCTGGTTTCAAGAGTATCTTGGACGCATGCAAACCCAATGTGAGTGATCCAACATACATCAAACAACAATGATATGTACATAAAGCAGTCTGGAGTCTGCCAATTATTGATGAACATTATCATTCGATCTGTTTTATAAAACGCGCCCAAACATCCCCAACTGAACAACCAAATTTGAATCATAAGACGGGTTCAATCAGCTTATCCGATTCAGTTTATGTTGAAAGCCAAAACCATCAATCACTGCATGATACCGATTACCTCGCTCCTACCACTTTGGCCTGTGGTCTCAACAGCAACGCACCATTAACTGTGGACAAAGATTGTCAAGAGTAAGTGTTGTTTCTATCGATGGGCCTACATCTAACATCAGAGACTGTCAACTGACTTGAAGGGCTTTCCCGGACATTAGTGCGTTCGACAGTATTTCCGTCGATCGGTGGGGTCGGTTGTTGGGTGATAAGGGTAAACCGGCACCTTCCGTATTGAAGACATTGAAAACCTGCACGGTGAGTTCAGCTCTGGTTGCTTTTCATCGACTGTATTGACTGATCACTCACTTCTTGAACATCCAAATCACAACGGCTGCTTGGTAGGTACTCATCTATACAACTGATGCCTCCCAACTCATCGCGTAAGTTTCTCAGAGGATCTCAGGTGTTATGTACTCCTCTACCGATCTTGATAGATAAATTAATAATAATCAATTTAAAAAAAAAACTCATTCCGTTTCTGTTTGTTTGTTTTCATCTTTTGGCTGGAAATCACTATCAGGAAAAAGGCCGAGATTGGCGTAGTAGTTTCGAAGACAATCAAACAATGCAAAGGCCAGGTAAGAGGAAGCATCGATCATATCAAAAAGTTGATGAAGAGTTGAGATCCCTCAAGACTGATTAAACTGATCGTATACAAACAGTCGGGAGTCATAGGATTAACGAAGGGAGGAAGCGGCAATAATGGTCTGACGGTGGTCAAAGTAAGAAGCAGCAAGCGATGCGGTAGTCGAGTTGATTCCGAAGGACAATATTGTGCCCCCTAATTTATCATCACTTATTCAAACAGTCTTCAGAATCATCCTCTGAATGATCGATTCTTCACAGTTGAAAGGGGCCTCTCAGCTGTAGTATACTGAAAGCTTCTGGCATCACTTCCACTTTCTTCTTCCAAAAACTCCATGGCATTTAAAATGTTGTAAAACAAATTTATGTATGAATGGAGCTGATCATGTACTCCTTGTTGAAAAGCTTTTTTCTCTCTCTGAAATTGAAAACCAATCAAGAATATAAGTTACAAAAGCTTGAAATGTGACAACACATTGAAATTCATGTGGACCACAAATCCCATATTTTTCATCTTTTATATTTTTGCCATCCTTATCATAGAGGTTTATGAAAAAAGGATGGCCTTGAACCAGAAAAGCACATGAATGATCAATTTGCCAGCTTAATATACAGATTGGGGGAAGACTTCCCCCACCGGGAAGTTACAATTGACTTTCCAGGATGCAAATGACTTGAAGAGAGTTGTGTTGTGACCTACAACAAGACATTCTTTACACAGAAGCAAAAAATGAGGGAAACAAATGTCATGTGAGTTGAACTTTGACATGAATACCTTCTTCCACACAAAGTCCTTGCTGTAATACAACATCAAGCCCAAAATCTTACTTGTAGCATGTGCAGAGACATTAGCATGAGCAAGTTTAACTGGCATTTGATGATTTGTTTAGTATGGCTCCTGGCTCAATTTGTGTTTGACTTTCCTCTTGGAGAATCTATCCAGTGCGGTCAACATTGGAGATGTACTGACCTTTCAGCCAACACCAGAAAGGTGCTGACAATGGCCAACTGTTCCAATTTTTTCCCTCCTGAAATCAGACTATTGGGAGTTCACTGCTGGGGTGCACAGGGTTTTTTTGGTCCCCACAAAAGGCCCCAAACTGCACCTGTGGTGTAGCTGATGGGTACTGACTAGTTCCAGCCATTTTTCCCAGTTTGGGTGGTGGAAGGGTCAGATGAAGTGACTTCACTTCTGGAGATTTGAGAACCAATTAGGAGTCAAAACAGCTAGGGTCAGACAGTGAAAATTCCTTCAAGTCCCCCAATGGACATTGAGAGCAACCAACTTGAGGTTATCTAATCTTTCCATCCAACCTGTGGCCTCAATTGTCTAAACCTGTGTTGAATTTTCTTTGACTTTCAATGTCAGCAGGGGGGTGTTACCTATTAACTGGGTCAGTAAATTACAAAAATGTGGAGAATAAAAAGGGGGGGTGTCCTCCAGGTGTGGTTTTTGAGGTGTTGAAGATAGGTTGCAATGATCAGGCAATTTTTCCCACTGTTGATATTTGCAGATTTTTATCTGGGCCAGGGGCACCTCCTGTGGCTGCTGTTGCACCGACCAGCAGGCTGAATATCTTCGTTATCATGACAGTTGGAGCACTGTTGAGCCTCATAGAGTCGTGTGGCCCCACACTCATGTACATGTTGCCTTTCACAGGTATAGTCCACCTGACATGGGGCACTGAGATAGACTGTTGACCTATATGCATGGGCAAAAGCTGGTTCCACTGAGTTCTGACCTCGTTGAATACCCCAAATCAAGCTTGGGGTGGCCAGAAAGCACAGTGACTTCTTGATGAGCATGACTATTTCAGGAAAGTGGGTGAAATGTTTTGGTCTTGGCAAGGATTTGAACACGAGGTGTGGCTTGAATGAAGTGCTGAAACAGAGGGGAAGTTCAACCAACTAGGTCTGGGAGGCGGGGTCTGCATTATGGAAATATGCCTTCTTAAACTGATACCTGCACAAGGGAGATGTAAAGCCAGGCAAACTAATTTAATTTCAACACTTGACAAAAGTGGATTTTCTTCAAAATAATTGGATCAACTAGCTCATTTTGCCTCACTCTCCTTCCAAGATGATTGCAGGTCTCTTTTTACTAAATTTATGCTGTTTAATGCAGCAATGATAAAAGGCCTTTGATTTTAATGATTTTTGAAAAGTATTTTTAGAAATTACAATTTTGTTTGTATCCACACCAATTCCTTAACAGATTGCCCAAACCAAACAAGGTATAAAAGGTTACTTGTGATTAGGAAACTGGAAAAGCAAAATGATCATCAATGGAAACACCAGTGAATTCTTCAGCTCAACAAAAGTGAATGGAAACTCTGTATATTTTAGGAATATTAACCTTCCCCAAGGAATTCTGTAGTTTGTGTTGCATCTGATACATAGAAACTGGAGTGTTGATAAATTGACCAAAGACAACAAAAGCTGATAATTCAAAACAACTTAGACTATTTCATGCCAATGAATTTTTCTCCAAAATATGCAAACCAAGTGGTTCATTTCATGATTTGAAAGTCTGTGGTGGTGATTGCAAACTGAATCGCCCATCCAATTCATTAATATGATGTCCCCAAATCACAAAATGGAAGAAGCAGAAGCAGTGATCATCAGAAACCGAGTGGATGAGTAAACTCATGAGATGACTAGTTGAGTCTCAAAGGCCAATTGGACCTTACTCTGCACTTTTTTTGGTGAATGCCAGTCAGGAACTCAAAGGGAGTACTAAATACTTCCCAGCTGTTTCAGTCTTGATAGATAACAGCTGGATCTGTTTGTGAGGGGACATTCACTGCTTCAAGTTGTTTATCTCTTGGGATTCAGTTGCGATGCTCAAATATCAAACATCATGATAAGATTAAAGATTATTAAATTCATATCATATGATTATAATTTACATTGCTTATAGAATTGGATGGGTAAAAAGTGTTCATCTTTCAATAAGAACGTGGATTGATCATTGTCTCCCCCGAGGAACCAGAAGACGTGCCCTGCAGACAGGGCATGTCATATTTTCAAGTAGCCAGGCCTGAGGTGACAAAAAAAAGAGAAGAATTGGCTTAACGTGCTTTTTGATGAGTCAACGGAGGAAGGAGAAAATGCTTACTTCGATGCAGTTCCGGTGGAAGTGATGGGTAGGATGGCATGGGAGGACAATAATGAAATCATCAAGTGTGTAGTCAACCAGGCAAACTAAGCACTGAGAAGCCCCACTGCCAGGGTTTTCAGACACAAATGACAAAACATCCGCCCTACCAAGACAGTCCAGCAAGTCTGTCAATGCGAGTTGTCTGAGTAGAGGGTTGTTTGATTGGAGGTACAAGTCAGATCGGTCGTCCAAGAGATTCTGACGGAATGTACTGAAGCGATGAGGATCTAAAGCCATCAATTGCTGGACGGCGAGAGCCATATCTTGTCTCATTTGTTGGCTGGATGGGTGGAAGTTATGTGTGTTTCGAAGGTTAGGCCCGTCTCGGATCAGAGAAAAGGCATTGTCGAGGTTGCGATAGACTCGGGCGATGAGTTTCTGTTCTCGGCGAGAAAGACGGTCGATGAGGTCCTCAATGGGCACAATATTGAGAGGTAGCGGTACCTTGGGGGTGATCTAGGTCTGGAGGCAGCCCTCAGCAAGGATATCCGCTGGAACTGCTCAAGTAAGCGGGCTTGTTGCACCAGGCGGCTTGCTAGCTGTAGGGGGCGCACTTCGGCAAGGCTGTGCCAGCACTACCCGGTCCAGA